TTTAAATCTAAATACTTTGAAGCATTTTAAAAATTCAACCTAATACAAATAAGGCAATATGCAAACATAAGAAGTTTAAATAAAAACTTCAACAAAGCAAAGATTTTCTTATTTAAATGATTCAAATAAGTTTTAATAAAATTGTAATACTAAAATAATTTTTTAAAGTTGCTCTTGGTCTTTCGGAAAATTTGTTTTCGATTTGATAACTTTCATAAATGTTATGAAAAATCAATCAGAAAGAGTGCCACCAGTTTTTTAAAATTTTCTTTGTTAATTATTTTTAATGAAGGAGTTCAATACTTTTGTTATGTAACTCTAACTCTTAATAAGAGATATAAAAAATCCATGATAACAATCGCTTGGTAATGTAAGTGATGTAACGTAAGTACATATACATAGTATCATACAATACATAGTATCAAAAAAAAAACTGTTTATTTTCCTTAGCCAGCCACCTCTGATAAATTTTCATATATTTTTTTAAATTGATATAGAATTCTCAACATCTTGTGAAAGTTTCTAACCACTTTACTGATTTGCAGAAATCTGACTTAAAAGTTGAAACAATTTTTTACCTTGTTTTCGGTGTAATGTAAGTTAAGTGGCATTTTACGTAATAAGTTCGCCCTTTTTTGGCCAGACTCAAAACTTTTTAGCCTATTTTATTCTTTAGATTAACAGCTTTCATACAAAATAGCTAAAAGTTTAATTTACAGTTTAAATAATTAATAAAGTTGTTAAACAAAAATAAAAGTTTAGTATTTTTGAAAATTTTGTAATTTTTTACTTTAAATAATTAAAAAAGCAATTTTAGATTCTGTTATGAGCTATTAACTATTTTAATATGTTTATGACTTTATATTAAATAAGGACTTTATATTAAATAATTTATATATTAATTAAATAAGACTTTATATTAAATAATTTATATTAAAATAGTTATATTAAATAAGGTTCAATAAATTAATTTAAGTTAAATATTTATGTCTTAAGTTATATTAAATAAAGTTAAATAAATTAAGTCAAGTTAAAGAAATGTTTATGTCTTAAGCTATACATTAAGTAACAGTAACTGTCATTAATTGTTTTATTAGTAATAAATTTTAATTGTTTTGTTAGACAAGAAAAAAAAAACTACAAGCTCTGGTTTTTGATTCAATAAATTGAAAACCAGAGTTTCGTGATTAATGTAATAGTCAAGTCTGATTCATTTTTATTTTACATTTGATGAGTAGCAAATGCCTCCTACCATTTTTAATTCTTTATTATATAATACAAATTCTACTATTTTTGTCAAAAAATTTTCAAGTTATTAAATAATGTATTTATTATAAGATATTTTTTACATAATTTACATTTAGGGATATCTTTTGATGCTGAAATATTGTTTGGTTTAACTAAATTTGCTAAACTGTTTGAATATTTCAAACAATTTAGAAAACTAAGGCAACATATATTTTTAAAAGTTTTTATCATATTTAAAATTTTTGCTTTAAATGCAGCTAACAAATGTTATTTTTAGTACAAAATAATAAAAAAAGATAATAAAAAAATGTAACATATAAATTCATGAAAGTTACTGTAAAGAAAAACTATGTTGCTTTTTAGAAATGATTTTATTAGTTACCCAATAATAATAATAACTAATAAAATCAGTAAGTTAATGTTTTGGTTCGATATTAACCTTTTAAATCATAAACTAAGTGTAAAGAAATATAAACCATTATGTCTATTTATATAAATAAAATGATCACAATATAATCAAAAGTGCTTAAATAATAACAATAATATTATTGTTTATTATTAATTTTTTTTTTTAATTATAGTAATTCACTGCACACCGAGAAACAAGTTGAGCACAGTACTACCAGAGATGTGGTAGGGATAAAAATCGGAACTTGCTTATGAAGCAAGCGTTCTACTACTACACCACTATCGCATTAACTATTATTTACTTATTACTTATCTATTAATTAATCAAGTCTTTCCATGAAAGCCGTGCGTGTTTTTGTCTCGTACGACCACGAAAATGGTTTTCAAGTTAGAGAACGTGATCACAGCCGTTTGCGCAAGTTATATTATATGTGTTACTGAAAAATTGTTTTAAATTTAATACCTACATAAGAAATTAAAGTAAACTTAAATAGAAAACAATAATAATAGTTTAAATAATTTGTGTGTTGTTTTTATTTTTGTTTTTTCTTAGTGGTTATTATTATCGGCAACAAAATTCATTAAGTCAAAGCAAAAAAAAAAAAAAAAACGATTTTAGACGTTAAAAAGGATGACTTTCCCATACTTTATGTGTTTTTTCTTTTAAAGAGGAAAGAGCAAATATGTATCGTCATCTGTTTGTAAAATATATATTTATAATTATAATGTAACAAGTTTATATCAAGAGTTAAATTATACGATCGCGATTTGCTAACTCTGGTAAAATATTAGGTCTTTAAAATTTTAGTTCATGCAAAGCTGTGTACTTTATTTATAAAAAGCAAATTATTAAAAGTTTGCTAACAAAACAAAAACAATAAACATACGACTACAAAAGTAATAACATTTTAGTCACTAACTACATTATAAAAGTAATAAAACTATAATAGTGTTATTACATTTATAAAGCACTTATTACTTTTAAAGTTCATTCTTGGTTCAAACAACATTAATTCCAAACATTTACTAAAGTAGAAAAGCATCTAGAAAAAATAAAGCATTCAAATATTATTAAAAATTTCAGGAACTTTCACATATTACTTGAACAACATTATAAAAAAGTACTTTATAAAAAGTATAGCATTACGAAAAACGTAAAAACGTAAAAACGCGCGCTACTTTTAAAATCAACCAATAAAAAATTTTTATTGGTTAATTTTAAAATTAACGCGCATTTTTACGGTCGATTAGTAACATTTTTCATAATGCTAAACTTTTAATACAATACGTTTTCATAAATTTGTTTGTCGCATTTTTATAAGTTACTTTAGTTTTAATATTATTTAAACATACATTTTATTCTTCTCGATATTTTTCTACATCAATTAAAATTTGGGAATACTAATGTTGCTTGAACAAAGAATTAATTATTGTTATTACTTTTTTAATCGTAAGTTTATTATTTTATTTTTTCGCTAACAAATTTAAGTTGATTCCCTTAAAAACAAGGAACACGGTTTTGTATAAACTAAAATTTTGAATACTGGATATTTTTCCAGATTTTACGTTTTGCATTCGCTTAATTCAACCCTTGTTGTTACATTAAAATTATACAAATAAATTTTACAAACACATTGCAATTTGTATTTTTGCTATCCTCTTAAAAAAAAATTAAGAAAAGAAAAATCATTCTTATTACTGTAGACTTCAAACTGTTGTTTTTTTTTGCTTCGCCTAATCTTATTTTGTTTTTGAAACTTTTTCAGCATTATTATAAAACTTGCAAACGGCCTTGTTCACGTTTTCTAAAATATTATAATCGCGTGAGGTCATACGAGACGAAAAACCGCACGTCTTTCCTGGGAAGGCTTGTTAATTATTATTTACTTATTACTTATCTATTACTTAATTATTATTTACTTTTTACTTATCTATTACTTAATTATTATTTACTTATTACTGATCTATTACTTAATTATTATTTACTTATTACTTATCTATTACTTAATTATTATTTACTTAATACATATCTATTGTTATAAACATTTAATTATGTTCGTTAACAAAACGTTATATGTTTATTTTTTAATTATTAAATAAAAAATAAACATATAACGAACAGTGAGTGAAGCGTGGGAGTTTTTTATAATGAACAAGAGAGTGAAGGGTGGAAGTTTCTGCCTTTTCAGCACTATATTAGTAAAACTTAGAAAATACTACAACAAAATGAAAAGATATAACATGTTTTTATATATATAAGAAAATATACAAAAAGTATAATACTTAATTACAGGCTTGGCCAGGAAGGCGTGCGATTTCAAGTCTTTATATGACTACAGAAATAATATTTTGTTTTGATGATTTAACCACAGTTTTTAACAAATGCACTGAAAAATTGGTTTTTAATTACATTATAAAAAACTTTGACAAGTTTATCTTTACTAACGTTTTTATATTAGCCAAAAACGCTTTTAAATAAAGTAGTTTATGATTTTAATTAAAGTATCGTTGAAAGTTGTATAAACTTTTATTTATATTATTTAATTATTTAAGATTTTCTAATAAGTAAAATAAAAAAAAGTAAAAATTTATTAAAAAAAAAAATTTATAAGCAATTATATTAAACAGCGATGATCTTTAATAAATTTTATTAAAGTCAATTATCTTGAAAAGTAGAAATATTTTATTGAGAAGAAAAAAAAGACAAACTTTTTTGAAAGCTGTTAAAATTAAATAACTTTGATCTTTACTTAAGTTTTTATATTATTGAAACACATTTAAATAAAGTAAAAAATTACTGCTAATGATTTTTTACAAATATTTTTATAAATAAAGTATTTTTTTTAATATTTATCTTTTAAATGTGCACATTTATTAAACAACCGTTAGATATAAGTTGTTACTTTATTTAAAAAGGTTTTTGCATAATATTGTAATATAAAAACAGTAAAGATAAGCGATTCAAAGTTATTCCAAACGTAATTAAGATAATCTTATTGTTATAGTTTATTATTTATTTTAGTTAAGTTTTACTTTTACTTTTTTATATTTAGTTTTGGTTAAGTTATTTTTATTTTTATTTTATTTTTAATTTTTATCTTTTACAAAGATTTATTTGCTTTTTTTACGTTAATTTTTTTTTTTAAAGCTTCTTCATAGTTAAGTTAACAAATTTTTTTAGCGCGTTTTTAAAATTTATACAAACTTTCAAAACATATTAACAGCCATGGTCAAGTTTTCAAAATTTATAGAGTATTTGTGTGGTCATATTATGACATGAAATCGCACACCTTCATGGCCAAGCCTGTTTATTATAAAGAAAAATAAATGTAAACTATACTCACATAGTAGCTTCAATTGATGATGAAACACCTTCACGAGGACGATGATCAGTAAGATAGTCATCCAATACGATTGGTTCAAGAAAGGACACTTGATTTGGTTTTTCATTTACAATATCTATTTCATCTACACCACTTTTTCGTTTTAAGGATTTGCTTCGAATTGTATCTATAATGAAGATAGTAAATATAAGGATAACATGATATCATGACAGAATCAAGCGACCAAATATTATCCAAAAAATTAAACAAAAAAAATTTAGAAGAACGCAAACTAAGATAATTTATAATGATTCTGATATACAATAAAAATGTTTAAAAACATTTTTAATCAGTATATAAATAAATAAATAAAAAATAGAAAAATTTAGAGAAGTGGAAATCAATGAATTTATGCATTATTTATTGCAATATTATTTATAGTTCAATGTAATATTAAATGTAATTTTATTTATATGTTATTTTTGTCAAAAATATTTGTTTTTATGTTTGTGCTGCCTTCATATAAAAACAAACTACGCTTTGATAATAAAAATGTGTTATGTTAATAAGTTTTTGTTTTTGCTCTGCCTTCATATAAAAAATGAATATGCTTTGATAATAAAAATGTGTAATGTTTATAAGATTTTGTGTTTGTGCTGACTTTAAAAAAAAAAAAAAGAATTATGTTTTGATAATATATATTATACAAATTCATAAAAATAAGAAAAGTTTAGCAAAAAATTTTTGCAAAAAATTGTATATAATTTGGTTATTGTTACTTAACTAAAACACTGGTCTCAGAAGGAGAGTATTTATATTTGACACGGTAACAATATTTGTGCATTCAAAACTTCATAAAAGCCAATTAAATCCGTATTAACTTGCCTTATATGTAGTTTGTAGTCTAATTCAATCTTTAACTGTTTAAATTAAAACCATGATAGTTCAAGGTTGTATGAGTCAGGAAAACATGAGGATGGGTAAGAGTTTCAAGTTTTGTTAATGTGTAAAGGAAAAAATTAGATAAATAAAAAAGCATGATTTATAGCAGGAACAGAGAGATACAGTAAAAAGATGCAAATTTCCTGAATGAGAACCATTTGTATTTAATGAAGATTTTTGTTTACTTATATGTCCTCAGGCCTTGTTTTAAAGCATTACGTCTAGAGTGATTTATGTACGCCTTAAGCGATTTTTAGGTACGCGTAGAGCTATTTTGGTTAAGCTACTTTTTATCATTTTTTAACTTTTAAATTAGCGGTAACATAAAAGAAGTAATTAATTTTTAAAAAAACCACATTAACTTTTGAATAACGATATGTAAAAATATTTATTACAAAAAAGAAGTTATGATAAAAATAACTGTAGTAACTTTTCATTGTGATATATCTTACTTTTTTATAACAATTAATTTTACACTAAACTTTTTATTCCAATATTTAGTAACATGAAAAATTGTTCGTCAATCCTTAACTACAAATGTTTTGCAAATGTTTTTAATAAAAAGTAGTAATTTTTTAAAGTTTTAAAATACTTTTAAAAAATCTATATTCCAAATTTATTAATACAGAATTTAAATGTTTTTTGTAATATAGATTTTTTCAGAGTTTTTTACAAAATTGATATTAAAAAACATTTGAAAAAAATTTGTAATTAAGGGTTGACATTTTTTTTTAATATCTCAAAAAATGTCTTAATATTTTTGTTATCATAATACACAGAAAAAAAAATTACCTGTTACTCGCAATTTTTGAATGAAGATAATTTGTTAAATTTCTTCTGTGTGCGATTCACTAAGTTTTTTTTTTCATAAATCAAGTTATATTATAAATCACGAGTAGACTATAACATCCGCTGATGACACTAATATTACGTTGAATGTATTTATATAATGGAGGTTTCATTATGCACGCGCACATTACAGACTCCATTAAATAAATACTAAGGCACGTTTTAGTTTAATGACAGTCTCTATTTTTTACTAATGACTATGTATTTTTCTGTATAAAATAAGATAAATTAGTATATAAAAACCTTGTATATTTCTATTCTCTCAAAATTGTTTAAAGTTCGAATATGGATTGTATTTTGAAGGACAAAAGATTTACTTTGAAAACTTTTAAATCCTGGGACTTTGTCAATGCTTTTCTAATTGAAACTATCACAGAAAAAGAGAAGACTCAAACGTTATTAAAATCAAATGTAAGTTATGTGATTTTTATCAAAATAAAATATTATCCAAAACCAATGGTGCAGCTGCAGGGCAGCTGCCCTATGGTTTATAAATGACACAAGTCATGTTAAAAATTTTTAACATATTACTATATTTTATTTAAACTGGCATACAAATAAAAATAAAAATATAGTTCAATAAATAAATTAAATTTGTTCTTATCAAAGATTACCTCATATTTATTCTTTTTTTGTTTTATTATTACAAATTAAATTGCTTACAAACGAAAAAAAAAGAAGTTTTGTAATTATACGTAGAATGAAAATACTTTTGAGTTTGTTTATAAGTTAAGGAACTTAATTTTTAATGAACTAATTTTAATGAACGTTTATTATAAACAGATACGATTCAAATTATTAAATATACTTATATTATTTTAGTTGAGTATTTTTTTAAGTTTTGTGTAGAAGTATTTGTTTGTTGTTTTAAGAATAATTAACAAAAGAGTTTGCATAGTTAAGACTTTTATATTTAATTTAATTTTTTTTTTAAACTCCTAAAATTCAAAAAAAAAGATTTAATAGTTAATTTTTTAATATACAATTTAAAATACAATTTTTCTCTGTAGCTCTGTTTCTTTGTGATTTGTTTAAAATGTAAAACATTTTTAAGATAACATAAAAAATTTATGAATTATATTCCTGGCGAACGCGTTCTGAACTACATATCAAAAATATGCTCAAAGCAGACATGAAACTTTTTTATATTTTTATTTAACGCAAGTTAAAACGCTAAAACATAAATTTAAAAAATATTGAAAAACCTATATTATTCTTTGCTAGTCAAAACAAAATTGCTGTTAAAATAATTAACAAGGGTTTTTGTTTATCAATGTTAATATTTTTTGTTTACTCCAGAAATTTTTAAAAATAAAAAAATCATTATTACTTTTTATTCAATAACGATTTATAAACAACAATTATTCAAAAACAAATTTCAGAAATAATTAAAAAATATATACTTATATAATATTTTACTAAATAATATTGAACTAAAATTAATATTAAAATAATAATTGAAACAAACTAATTAAATTAAAATAATAATTGAAACAAACATAACAAACTTTTCATAACAAATTTATATTTAAAATGTTTATAGTTATTTGAGTTAATTGTTAAATTGAACTAGTTAGCGGTTATTTATTTATTGCGGTAGTTAAAACACTTAACGTCTATAAAAAAAAAATAAAGACAATTTTATGACGTCAAGTATCGTGTTAAGTTGATGCATTAAGCGTTTTTTTTATTTAAAACAAGGCCTGTGTCCTGTTTTTTTTAAGTATACTTTAACAATAAAATTACTGTTGACTATGATTGTGTATAAACTTTTTTTAAATAAATCTGTGTTTATTGTAAACATTTGTTTGTTTTCCTTTGTTTTTATTAGTTATCCTCCTATATATAAAAAGTTTTTTCAATAGAAATGTTTCATTTTTCTCTGTGGACTTTTATTGCTCAGTCTAGTTAAAGCACCACAGATGACCACATTTACACCACACACCACAGATGAACACATTTACACCACACACCACAGATGATCACATTTACACCACACACCACAGATGATCACATTTACACCACACACCACAGATGATCACATTTACACCACACACCACAGATGACCACATTTACACCACACACCACAGATGACCACATTTACACCACACACCACAGATGACCACATTTACACCACACACCACAGATGACCACATTTACACCACACACCACAGATGACCTGCATTAAATATAACAAAAATAATCTTAAAAATATAAAGAAACTAATAATAGAGATAAGACTAATCAGAGGATAGTTGGATAGGTTTGAGTGTTTTTTAGAGTTCGTAAAAATTGTAACCACTTGCAAATAATTCTGCCTAATTCTGGAGAGAATTAATAAGATCAGACCCATGAACTAGAGATGGAATTTTAGACTTACTTTAGTTAATGATAAAATTAAAGACTTTTCAAAAACTTTGTCAGAGAAGACAAAAGTGGTTTGAGCATCAGCATTTAGAGAGCTCAGAAGAAAATGTAAGAGGTAAAAGAAAACTTGGAAAGAGTGCGTAATTGGAATGCGTTACAGCTATGGTTAAGGTATGAACAAGCTTTAGTTAAGGAAAGAACATGCTTGAGAATGTTTATATTAAAGAAACAGCATAGAAGGGGAAAGCTAAAGCAAAATTATATAAAATTTTCAAAAATAATTATTTTATAATAAACATATTAAGAAAAAAAATATATCAAAAACTTGTAAAAATGCACTTTTTTATTTCTAGTTAAAAATCGATAGTTTTTATGAAATAAAAATTAAATAATTTTTATACAAAACAATTATTATTTTTGAAATTTTCATATTATTTACGTTTCGAGTAGCAGGTAAAACTTATGAAGAACTTTTGCTACATGTATATTTTAAATATTCAAAAGTTTTAGGGCTCTTCTAAAAATATTTTTTGTTCAAAAATGTTAAACTCTAGTGTTATTATATTATGTAGAACATATTAAGAGCTCAGATAAGACAATTTTGAAAAATTGTTTTTTTTTTTTTTTTTTTATATATATATACTGATGTAAAATTAAACAAGCTAATAATCTATAATTCAAAAAAAATTTCCAAAATAGAAAATTATTAGAAACTGTAATTTCTGAAGTTTTAAAATAACATAACAAATTCTCACACAAAGAAATACTCACTTATCTCTGTGTAAAATAACTTATTAAAACTTCAATAAAATTGCAAAGATATTTATATTAATAGTGTGAATCAAATATTTTTAATAATATACTTTTTAAGTTGTTAAATGGATTTGTTCAAAAAGTACAACTTTAAAGTAAACATACTTCTTCTAAGCTTCCTCATCCTCGAAGATGGAAGAGATGAATTCAAACTTTCGTCAAGCTTTTTTTCATTATCATCGATTGAAGTGATTGAAATATGGTCATAATTAAAAGTATTATCTTCAAAATCAATTACTTCATTGTCATATGCCTTGTCTTTTATTTTTTCCATTTCTGTAAAATCATTTTTGACAGTCGCTTGATAAAAAGTTGATGGGTTTTCTATAAATAAAATAAAATTTATCTCATATAAATTGCAAGTTTATCATAATAATAAAATAAACTATAAGTTAATAACTTATATTTATAAGGGATTTTGAAAAATTTCTTTTCAAAACAGTGATGCAGAAAAAAAACATGTCACAACACAATATAATAGAATTTTTATCACTATGACATTGAATATACAATGATCAATATCGCTGTGTATTGATATATATACTGCATAAACTGATCAGGCCTTCACAGGAAAACCTGCAATTGCATGCCATTATATGACCAAATAATAACTTTGTTTTGACAATTTGACCATGGTTGTTAACATGTTTTTAGAATTTGAACATTTCAAAAATGCGCCAAAAAAAAAACTGTTTAGAAAAAAAAAAAAAAAAAAAAAACATTTCTTAATCTATTTTTAATGACTATAAAAAAAATTTACCTATAATTAACTAAAAAAAAATCTTATAAAAAAAGTAATCTTAACAAAAGAGAAAATAAAAAGAAATTATTTAAAACCTAAACACAAAAAATAAAATTATAATTCACCTAAAAAAAAAAAAATTAAAACACTAAGATACTTTTAATTACAAGTAATTACATTTGGAATAATAAACTTGGAACCTTTTATATTTACTTATTTTTTATAACAGCATGGGAAACTGTTTTAAAACTTACTTTTAATGATTGTTTTAACTATTGTTTTACTATTTTAAAACTATTTAAAAATAACGCTTATTAAAAATATATATATATATATATATATATATATTCCAGACTTTACTAATGCTTATATTTGTTAGTTTTGTTTTTTCTTATTTTTAATTTTTTTTTTTATATTAACATTTATCATAAAAAATACATAACTATATATAATTAAAAAATATCTATATATAATATTCAATACTTTAAATAAAAAATTATTAGCAGTGATTTTAAAAGGGTTTCAATAAAAACTATTAGTAAAGATCCAAGTTATTATATATATTTAATTGTAATGGGATTCAAAAAAAAATCTTTTTTTAACAAAAGTTTTTATCTTTTCGAGTGTATTGAGTTGAATATTTTTTGTACAAACTTCTTAAAAAAGACTATCATTGTCTAAAAACTTTCATTTTGCAAGGTTACAATAAACATTATTTGTAATAATGTTTACCATACTTTTATTTAAAGACTATTTTGTATAAAAACTGACAAAAATCTTGCTGATAAACAAAATGAGGCATGTATAGCAACAAATAAAAAAAAATTAATAGTATTACTGCCCTAGTATAAATACATGCATCAAATATGTAGCACAAACCAAATATGTAACATTATGTAATACCAACGAAATAAAAAATATCCCTTTAATAGGAAATCCAGAGCTTATATTAGTACTTATGTCAAATTTAGTTAATATACCACTAATATTAAATTGTTTTATTAACTTTTTTCATATTTTTGGCTATTCTGGTAAACTGAGCTTTGGCCCCACAATTTTTCCAAATTTTATAAGTTTTATTGGAAATTTTCATACTTCTTTTCATATTTGATCATTCTTTATAGATACCAACCACCTGAGCGCATATGTCACAACAAGATATACACATTATGTAGGCTATATGGTTAAATGCCAGTCACTGTCATTTAATAATTTTAGACTATTTACAGTTAGTTTTTCATGAAAAGTAAAATGAGTACACAATATAAATTATCATATATTTTAACTTCAATAAATGCATGATTTAACTTTTATTTGCATCAAACTTTAAATTATTAATATATTATTAAACTTTGAATTATTGATACACTATTGATAAGTTGATTTATTAGAAGTATCTTGATTATGCAGTAAAAGTAAAACAAATTAAATTTAAAATGAATGATAATGCAGTAAAAGTAAAACAAATTAAATTTAAAAATTATATAATTTTGATTAATTATAAAAAGCATAAAAAAGTGCAATTTTTAGCAAAAAAAAATCAACAATGATGCAATCAATGCACTTTAAAACCTAAATTGATATATAAAAAATATATAAACCAGAGTTTTCATTCAGTTAATATACAACTTAACAACAATTTTTTTTTTTAATTCTATCACTGTCACACTTAAAAAAGTTTAAAAACTTTTAAAAAAGTTTTGTACAACATCTGACCCACTGTGCACTGTATTACATATTTTATTTAAATTAAAATCTAAACTTTTCTCATCTTATTAAAAATCAGTATAATATAATCTGTATAATCTATTCATTAAATTGCAAAAAAAACTCTTTTAAAAAAAACTCAAAGTATTTAAGTATAGTAAACATCAACTAAGTTTGAATTTAACTAAAAAACAAACCTTTATGAAGTAATTTTTAAAAGTAAATAAGAATAAAAATTTCTTGCTTTTCCCTTGAAAAAAATTCATTTAAAACACTTAAATTATTTTTCTTTTTTTTTTAATTTAAATAAACTCAAATTATTTTTCTTACTTTTAATTCAAATAGCATAGCAATAAAAAATGTAATTTATATGGAATTGCAAAATAATCTGAATTTTTAGACGCAGAAAAGCAATACAATATAATATTTATATAAAGCCAATAGTAAAATAAAAAAAAATATTACCTCCCCCCCTAAAAAAAAAAAAACTTTTCAGGATATTATCTTTAAATAATTACTTTAAAAGCCAGAAAGACTTTACATTTGAAATAAACCATTTAAAAACTAAGATTTCAAAAATAATTGCAATTAATGCTTATTTAATACTTAAAACTTAATTTTTTAAAGGCTTTAATTTTTTTAATTTTTATTTTTTTATCTTTAAAATAAAATACTTTACTTAAATAATAGTAAATAATTATAAAATTTTGTTTAAAACTAAACTTTGCTAAAACTAGCAAATGAAACACATGAAGCAGAAACTATTGGCTTTTTGATAAAGAATAATTTCAGTTGTATCAATAAATAATAATGTCAGTTTTAAAATATAACAAAGAATGTCAGTTGTAAAACATTAACGTAGAAACATTCAGTTGTGGAACATTGACAAAGGATAATGTCAGATGCTTAAATAACAGTGAAATATAATGACATTGAACAAATATCAAAGAAGAATAATGCTACTTGTAAAATAGCTAGCTTTAATTTCTTACTTCTTGTTGAGAACTTTTTTCAATCAAAACTTACACTTTATTTATATCTGTTTTGCTTAAAATAACTTTTTTTTGATAAATTCTTAAGATGATATAGTTGCTTTTTTTAACAATTTTTTACAACACTATATTGGCACTTTCCAAAATTCTTTTTGAAATTTTGTGCTTTAGGTATGAGCTGTTAACTTTCTGGGATGTTGCTGCATCTCATTTACTTCAAATATTTAAAGAAACATTTGGTGGCATGTTTTGTTTAAAGAAACATTTGGTGGCATGGGTATATTATATACCCATAATTATATACCCATATTATATACTACATAAACAAATATGACATTATATCTTCATGATAAAATACAGTCTTGAAATTTTTTTAGTTCTATATACTATATAGAACTAAAAAATTTTCAAGACTGTATTTTATAATGAAGATATAATGTCATATATGTTTATGTAGTTTCATAAGAAAAACGTATAAACTACATATGAGAAAATTGTGATTAGTTAACAATCAATTCTTCTTCTTTTTTTTTCTTTTTTAATATAACGTTTCAAAGTTAATTAGTTTTTTTTAAATTTGATGAATTGGATTTTTTTATTTATTAAATATTACAGTTAAATAATTTAACTATTTATTTAACATGACTACTTTCCATTTTTTCTACTTTTTTTACGAGTCAAAAGTTTAAATTTTTCGTAAAGTTATTCATCTATGGTTCATAAATATTTAATTGATATCAATAATAAGTTTTATAATTCATAAACTCGGAATTTTAAACATTTATAATCTCTAAAAATATTACCAGTTAAAGACAGCATTTCTTCAGGAAACTTTGATGAAGTAAATTTATTCATTGTAAATGTAAATTAAAGGAAAGAAACATAATTATTTATATTTGTTTTTTGTTGTCTTTGATTATTTTTCGTCACCAAGACTTTACGACTTTTAATTTTAGGTTACCGGCGGATTAACAAGATTACGAATTATTATTAATGAGGCCTGCTAAGCAATTTTAATTGAACAATTTTAATTTGAAGAAACTTCTATACAATTAGACAACTTTTTTCTTAAAACACCTTAATTACAAATATCGCTAACATAACTAAATTACAAATTTAGGTCGAATGAAGACAAAATGATTTTTTTTTTTTTTTCAATCCTAATAAAAAGTTGGTTTTGGTCCCAATAAAGGTTTCACGATTGTTTATCATAGGGTGACTGTTAAACTTTGAAATTTGCAAAGTTGTTTTATAACAATGTACACTACAATCTGTACCACTTTCACGTTCAAACTATCAAAACTTGCGAAAATAAAGTCATTTTCATAAGAATAGGTGATTTTCACAGTTTAATTCGCCTATTCAAGTACAAATCTGAATAACCGAGACTCTTCAATGAGGGTCTTTTTGTAGCTATATTAGTAACGAACATTTGTGAGAAATTTCAAGAAGTTTCATAAAGTATTAATAAAGATATCATGTAAACGGTATTATCAAAACAACAAAAACACGTAATGTGAAAAAACAGTCTTAAAAATCAGATAATATATATTAACATCAGGCAAAACAGAGCTAACTCAAGTGATCCAGAACTATTAGGTTTGCATTTTTTAATGTCTTTTTTTTTTAATATAAATTCTTTTCTTAGACTTCTTCACTTTTCCCTGAATTTTTTAAATATTAGACGACTATTTACAATGAATTAAAGCTCTATAATGGCCACTTTTTTATCCACTTTTTTCAAAAAAACTTTTACGTGGAATACTAAATCAATTAAAATTTTTCCAATGCAATTAATACCATCATTGAAACTTATAATGGCAGAACACACACTAATTATAAGTACTTTTCTGCTACAATAAGTAGATTTTGGACAGCGTGTCCAAATAGTTCCATTTAAACACTCATCTGTGTTTTACGTTTGGTTATGGAGGCATTATCTTAGCGAGAGTATTGACTTAATTCCTGAAAAAAAAATTTTTTCAGTTATGCTAAGTGCATATAGAATACTTGAAAACAAATTGAGATAGAATTACGCAATAAATAATGCTTTATTTCTATAACAGCCGTTGCTAAGAGTAAAAATCTATCCAACATTAAGATAAGTTGAAATAACCTCGATTTCTTTTTTTTTTTTTTTTTTTAATTTCAATGACAAGTTAAGATTTTGTGATAAATTTTGATTTTAAAGCATTTATAATGAAAAAATGAAAATTTTAAGGTTTTCGCCTTTTTAATTGTATAGTACCTTAATGAACTGTTACGAACAATTTTTAAGTGGTTATATGTTCTTATATTTTTAAGTTAAATTCAAATCCATCTAGTAATTTAAATAAAACACTTGATGTGAAAACGCATAAGCATTGCGCGATTTATAAAAAATTTACGTAGCGTAGATAAGAAAGTTGACATTTATACGAATTGCTAACTTGAAAAAGGGGACATGTCCTGCAAAAATTCACATAACATGTCCCCTTTTCAAGTAAGCAATTCGTGTCTTATTCTCGCTTCACATACTTTAACTGAATTTAAATAGAATAGAGTGAGACAATCAAATTTTTTATATTCGATTTTTTTATATTTATATCGAAGCTATATTTAATCAAATTTGAACTTTCTTTGTTAAAATAGAATCATTTACTGTTGAATTATTTAGAATCGAATTTTTTTAATTAAGTTATTAAAACTTCTTTTAAATAATATAGAATCACCATCTAGAACAGAATCTTCTAGAATCGAATCAGTTAAATAAATTAAAATTTTAATGTATGCAATAGTACATTAAATAGTATATTAAATAAAACATTAAATAAACATATTTATAAAATCTGCAGTTGGTCCTATACATACTGGACAGTGATTAGCACTACTTTGAATGGCTTCAGCACATCGCTGGCATAGGCAAAGATGGCGGCAAGAGAAAATAACAACTTGAAGATTGTTGACGAGGCAAACTTTGCAGACATTTTCGATTGGCCTCTCCATCACAGCAGCTAGTCCATTCAATTAAGATTCTTCATCAACAGTTTGTTCTTAAAAAAAAGTATAAATATAAAACACCTAACTAGTAGAATTCCTTGTCACAGTCGCAACAAAGTGAGATTGCCACCTGTCAACAACAACAACAAGCTTCTTACATGAATACAATGCAGTAAATACTTTTTGTTTGTTGTTAAAAACTGTAATTAATTATTTGGCTTGTTCAATGATTTCTTGAACTTCCTGATCACTTGGCATTTTCATGTCGTTGCTGAAGAATGCAGCTTCAAGAAATATGCAGAGGAATGCAGCTTCAAGAAATTTGGGTGCAGTCCATTCACCAATTGCAAGCTTTTCTTCATACCCACCAAGACGCTAATACTGTTTTTAACGATCTTGATGCAGTTTTTTTCTAGATTGAGATTTTGGATCAGGAGCATCTCAACTTCCATTGGACGATGTTTTTTTTTTGATTGATTGCATTTTTTTGTGGAACAAAATATTAATATTTAAAATAAATAATTATTATATATAAATACTATAAATAAAAATAAAATAAATAAATAATTATTATATATAAATATATAAATATAAATAAATAAAAATTATATATAAATTGATGTTTTAAAGATAATTTTTTTTTGATTGATTGCATTTTTTTGTGGAACAAAATATTAATATTTAAAATAAATAACTATTATATATAAATACTATAAATAAAAATAAAGTAAATAAATAATTATTATATATAAATATATAAATATAAATAAATAAAAATTATATATAAATTGATGTTTTAAAGATAATTTTTTTTTTGATTGATTTTGTGGAACAAAATATTAATATTTAAAATAAATAATTGTTATATATAAATTTATAATATATGTTTTATAATGTATAAAATAAAATGTAATTTATTAATGTTAACATAAGCAGATGTCTGTAGATAATGAGCATGCAAAATATAAAGTTCCCATTTTAAAATTTAAAATAGTTTATCTATTCTGTACAATTTAAAATTTTTAAATTATACAGAATAGAATCTCAACTGCTGCATCTATTGGATCAGAACACTAAAGTGCTATTGTATAAAGAGTTACATTTTGTTGAATCTCATCCAAGAAACGTCAAAACCCAGTGTGTGCTGTCATTGAACGATTCATCTTAGAGTGTAATTACTCAGACACGTTGTAGTACGATAACGCAGGCCATGAACAGAAAACATCTCAGGAGATTTTTGGAGCATTCAACACCTTTCGTTATACTTAACAAACTTTTTCATTTTTCTCTAATAGCAATGACATTGTGATGGTTAGCTTCAGCTTTTAGTTTGTTAACTTCAGGCCTTACTAAACTGGGTGGTAGCAAACACATGGAAATAAACTTACGACATCATTTTCTGATGATTGGGTCATTATTCCTGGTGTATTCCACCTGCAGACCAAAGGCCTTAATTCTTAATCGTCCAGTCATTAAAACATGCAGAACAGGCAGAATCATTATTCCGAACTCCTGTGAAATATTGAACAGCTGAGCACCATGAAAGATAACAGGAACCACACGAAATCTAGCATCAACAAACGGATAGTGGTTTCTGAAAAAAACAAATTATTATCATTTAAAAATAACTGGGATCTAAACTAATAAAAAATCATTTTAGTTTAGGTTTTTCCATTTTGATTATGAAATGAATTATAGCCTAAAAATAATTTACCTGACAAATATGTCAGCAGTGTTGAAGAATAAAAGAAGGAAAGCTAGTTGACCCTCAAATTCTACAAGGCCTTTCTAGATGTTAAAAAATAGATAGGGTTGCAACATGTTTAGACCTGCCTCATTTTGAGATTTAGGGTTTGTGTTGTAGCAACTTCTTCGTGCACTCTGTAGAATTTGTTCACTTTTTCTGAAAGTAAGTGCAGCCTTGAAACCTTCAGATGAGGACTAGATGATATTGTTGCAGATTTTACGCAAAGGTAGCTGTGTAGTTGAAGCCGTGTCTCGCATTTTCTCAAGAGCTGGAAGGTGATCAAAATTTTGGGGCCTAGTTACACAAGTGTGACCATGTGCTGTCTCAAGTAAATTAGTTGACAAAACTATTTTTGCACTTCCCTCACAAATTTGATGGTGTTTACACTTGAGATACACAAAGCCATTGTTTTCCTTTTTTTTGATCTAGCCAAAGTCCCCTGCAACATACATAAATGTTTTCTGTTTGTCATTTCAATTTTTCTGTATCCCGGTTTGCTATTTTAAATTTAAACAAAGCTTGATATATATTCACATGCGTTCGTTGAATTTTTTATGTTTGCATAAAATTTTAAAAGAAGAAAATATCTGCTTTATCACTAGTTATGCTCTTATCACGCTACGAAAACTAATTAAGTTTTAAAATTACAAATCTGATTGTAAAAAAATTCGATGCTAAATTAATCGGCTGTGAGTTTTTAGTTTCATTAAACTTTTAATGGTATTCGATCATTTCATCCTATGCTCAATAAATTCGTTTCCAGAAGTTAATTAAATCTTTTTCTGAGCAGTTTTTAGATACTTTGGTTCTAGAACATTTTAACAAATTGGATTCTGGCATTGGACGCCCTTATTCTAAAGAAATTTTGTTTACCATTAGGAAAACTAATTGGGCATTGTGGTAAGCAGTGCCGTAGCTAGATTTTTTTTGAAAGAAATAATTAAAATATAGTAATAGAAATGACAAAAATTTTCTGTTTTTGGTTATAAAGTGAACGTGATTCGATATATATATTGTATATATTATTTTCTTTCAGAATAATTAAAAATTCAAGTAAAATTATGCGAGGCCTCCCCAAAACCTGTCATTTAGGCCACAGTTCCTTTAAATTGTTTTATTATGTATTACTAAAAAAAACCGTCTTGAATTTTCAAACAGGCCCCCAATATTTAAAAATGGGCCCCATAAAAAAAATGATTAGGTCTTTAATATAAAATAAAAGTAAAATTTAGTTCTTAATCAATCTAAAGGATAGATATGTGAAACTAGCTTGTGAAACTAAGCGAATGGTTCATAT